AAATTTAAGGAGTTATTATTATGTACGTTTAGATGATACAACCGGTAGGATACTTTTGCACGTTACTGTATGTTACATAGAATACGCACGGATACTCGTACCACTCGCTTTATTTGTCTATTAGTTTCGATAAACAAAGCTTTTTAAAGTAAATCATTGCATCCAACATACAATAGCATTTACAATGGTCATGTTAGCAATAAGTTTGACTACTTAAAATATTAGTCATAGAGCATAAACTGTCGCTATATATTGAACCTCAATTGCTAAAACGTATAAAAGAATGCAAAAAACCATTAGTTCTTTAAATCAAATCGGCAATACCGACTCCTCGATCATTACGATTTTTGATTACCCGCTTTTTACTGGCTGCCGCCACAGTCTCTTCGCAAAATATTTCCCCAATGTCTAATCCCCCAACGGACAAGCCGAGCAACCCTAAACCGCGCAAGCGGAAAAATTCGTTTATGAATTTCTTACAAGACTTTAGGGAAAATTATTCCCACTCGTTTCCTAACCAAAAGTCGTTAACAAGGCACGCAACGGCTGTTTGGAATGATCCAACATTCGACAGACATGTGTACAAAGTTCAAGCGGAACTTGAAAAGGCGTGCCTTGACGCGGTTACTAAAAATATGAAGGTGAAAACAGAAGTAGAATTCGTATCCAACCACATATGGATTAATACAATGCCTGTTGATCAGAATGTGGAACGTGTGTTCAATCGTAAATGTCGCACAAATCTCGGCGAACTTTTCTCTCGGAATCATTTTCGAGCAATAACGGGGCTGAATGTTCATAGGAATCGATTTAATTTATTTTTATACACGCCAATTATTAACTTTAGTAATAAGTCAATTATAATACGTTAATTGAATAGAGCATAGTGCATTAAGCTTCATTAATTGTGTTTGGTGAAAAACTCAATGAAAGATTAAAAGTTTTGGTGGTAGGATAAGAGATATGATAATGATAGTAACAAAGTAGCCTGATGACAAAACGCATATATCAGATTTGTACTGTATTAGTATGGGAGAGTTAATTCCTTTTCCCTTTATAAAAGTCGAATGGAAATTCTAAAACCAGAATTATATCCCCACTACTAACTTTTATTGTGACCACTCGAACAAAACTTCTAGTATAAAACCATTCCTGGCTAATGAATGGTGCTGCTAATTAGTCTCACAATAATTACCGAACGCAAACGCACCATGTATTAATATACATAAGGTCACTTTTAAATTGCTGAGAAAGAAGGATTTCGCAATTTGCCATTTCTTGTATTATACATAGACTACGATATTGGTTTAGCGCTGAACGATATTACAGTTTGAGTTGATGCGCTGAATTCGACAGAACGTACAACAAATTAAAATAATAGTATGTCCAAGAGAGCTTCAATAAAAAGTTTAATTAGATAGTGGATAAATCAATATTTTCCGTAATAGTTACAAGTGTCAATTCTGTGAATTAATCGCATTAATCCGACACAAAACTTATTAACAGCATTTAAAGAAAGGTACAGCGCCCTTGACAGGTTCCAATCTTTCGCGAATGACAGTCTTAGTCCTTCTGTTATTTGAAGGCTGAACGCCACGCAAGCTATCAAATTTACTTTTAAAGTTTTCTGTCCATTTCTGCTTCCTTGTAAATCCACCATATGAACCAGGTGTCACAGCTGAAATGTTACCAATTGTCCCTAACCTTTGCATAGTCCCATCGTCACTTAAACTTCTTACCTTACCTGGAATTGGTATTGCACGTGATGACGTACTTTCTTCTGTATCGTTAATTTGGTCGTCTTGCCCCGCCAAATCAGCAATATCAATTTCAGTCTCTTCTGGCATTTCAATCTCTACCTCCTCTTCAATAACTATTACATTCTCTTTATTGCATAGATCAAGTGGACCTTGATCAGGTTGCGTGAGTGTTTCGACTATATTCCATGCTTGTCCTTTAAGAACAGCTATTTGTTTATTAAACATCCCTTCATCGAAATCATCATCCATTGAAAATAATGCTCTTAAATCTGCAATTGTTTCCTTCCACCATACTTGCGACGTTAATAATGACAAGAAATGATTTCTGGTATTTCCCGCGAATGGTTGTCCAACCAGTGAATCGGGTAAGAATAACCAACCATAAGGATATGACCTCCATTGATCAGGATGCTTGAACGGAAATGATAGTCCATTATCTATTGCTGCTACATGTACATGAGGCCATGGTGTTGTAGCTTCAACTGACGATGAGGAGGCAACAGATGACAGTAGATTCGTATTGGTTGAGGATGGAGAATTGACAGCACTTAGAGGATCGTCATCTGCACCGACGGGCGTAATTTCGGGAGTTATGGGCTTTATTGATTGCGGCAAAGGGTCCGTGGAAACTTTGTGTCGACGCAGATTTGATGGAGCCTCCATCGTGAGTGGTTCTGGTGGTAACACTACAACCTGTATCGAAGAGTCCTTTTCACAATATTTAATCATCCAGTTGTCCAGACCCCTGTCTAAAAAATAAACACACGTTTCAAATTACATGGCTAATCACAATACATATGTTTATCAGTCTTCAAACTTATGTCAATACTTACCAGTATTCCTCATTAAATAATCAAGCAAAACTAATTTTTCAAACTGTTCCCTAAACTGTACTTGTAACTCTTTAGTCCATGCAAACTTCCTTCCTATATGTTCATTATCCGTGTATTCATTACCTTCGTCATCATCACCGTCGCCTCTACATACTAACACACCCAATCTTTTTTTCTTTTTTTCCTTTCCCATTGCCGAATTCACCTCAGCCGATGCAGTAATAATATCTTGATTTGTAGAATTTGGCCATGGATGATCACGCAGAAAAATTTCGGCATCTTTATATCCGTTAAGAAATACTTGAAAAGAGCCGATCTTTTCCGGCAAAGGAAAGGGATTTCGTTTCGACTTTGCAGCTCGTCGGTCGAGGTAATCATAGTGAAAAGTGGGCGATGAAAGATGCGTTACTTCTGTAGCTGGAACTATATTGAGATTCAGGCGACGGTCGAGAAGAGACGCTGCCGATTCGGACATATAGCCTAAATTAGGAATTAAACTGTAAAACAAAAAGGTACATGTGAGTGGCAGAACTATGACTGTGGGAAATATGAACAACGGACCAAAAGGCATATAAACGTATCGTTAGCCAAAATTCCTCTCTCATTCTCTACAACCAAAACTCTACATTTATGCAAATAGCGTAACACCACTCTCGCATAACCGATTAAATATATCCTGTCGCTTACTCGCTCCGTGAAAACTCAAGTGAAAAGACCATTCTCACCAGCTCCGTCCAAAGAAACATGGAAACAAATTTCTGTGCATCCACTTTGTCCATTTTGGATTTAATCGCCCGTACGGTTCCTCGTTTTTGGGTTTAAAGACACCGACAATTTTTCCGTCTACATTTTTACAAAAGTAACTTCCACTCGAACCAGAGCTGATACGTTTTGGATATGTGCCTTCTCTGATGGCAGATCTGACAGATTCAACTATAGATTTAAATTCTTCTCTTGAAATTGGTGGGCCATGTGCTGAACTCAAGGTATTCATTGGAGGCTTGTGTACAGAATGCAACCGGAAGCATAGAAGAATTAGTAGAGACGACATGTACGCATGAAAGTGCGGAAATTAAAGCTGACGTTTAGCTAAAGTTATTAAATAAAAGTGTGTTAATGAATTCTGCCTAATGCATAATGATGATTAGGGCATTTGTATTGATATCAGTAACAATATTTTTATTTTCCTATTAATAATTCAATTCAACAGAATGTTCTCAACCTAAACTATTCACCTTTTCTTCTCTACGTTTCTCCAGCGCTAACCATTCTTTTTATACTCTCTTGTCGCTGCCACGTCCTCTTTCAACATACCTGCCAATTCGGATCAGTACTAACGGGTTGAAAAACCGAATGGAACAACTCTTTCTCCTTTTTCTTTCCTTTGCTTTTCCCTCTAAGGTTGGTGATTTTCCTTGAAAACTTCTCCCACTTACTACCTTGCTCATTTTGATCTTCGTTATCGCTTCCTTCCATGATCCATGCAGGTAAACTATTTGGACGGAAAGATCTCAAACTTGTTTCTCGGAAGTAGTCACGTTGATATTTAGGTAAGGAACGAAAGAAAGAGGGAGAGAGTGCAGTGTCGTCATCAGTAGAGTCTCTTTGTTGGAGCTGGACATAACCAGGGTGGTGTGATCTTTGGTTGGATGGCATTCGGATTGTGGGAGTGAATTGGCGTTTACAATTAATCGCCCACAGACTATTTGTAAATGTGATAGTCTAATTTGGGACTATGATGTGTGCAATGAGATTAACAATGCCCGATAAAGATGCGATCAACAATGGCGATCTGTTAATACAGTATCTATTATTATTAATATTATATTAGTTGATCGAAGACGGGATCGGCCAGACATGACCATGGAATCGGTACTTAATTAATTCTCCTATCCTACCAGAGATATAGCGCACAGCTGAACAGATAAAGAACTCAAACGAGAAGTTAACCAAGGTCATTTACCAGAATTGTCAATAGCATACAGGATGTTGCCAACGAGAAGCTTCAACTTGTAATTTAATGATCTTCCCAATAGCCGTCTAAATTCATAGAATTTTGGCCTTTTAAGAGTTCAGTAGATGATTGACGTTGTGTACATTTCTAGTATTGGCCTTGATTAAAGAATCCAGGGTTTCCCATCCGCTTATAGTCACTACTAATTTATCGTCAAATAGTTTTTATATAAAGTTGTTTCGCCTATAATTACAAGCGCTAAATGAATTCCTTTATCGTTCGTTACGTGCCTCTTGAATGTAAAGAATAAACGTAAATTCTATAGCTTGCAAACTTAGCCTGTTTTAGATTGAGCAATGATTCATGAACACAACTAAACACTGATAATAATAGTAACAACAACAACTTAAGCAGGGATAACGCATCATACATAACTCGAGTCGTAAGTCTGGTCAGACACATAAAAAAACTCATAAATAACGTGAGAAATATTATACAAATCGGATCAAAGACATGCTTGTTGATAATATACACTACCCTACCATAAATCACCGGATTTTTTGTCACGTGTTTGAAATAGATATGAAATTTTTGTATTTTC